ACCTGTGCCCCTTCTCCTCCACAGGCAGCCTGAGCGCAGCCCCTCTGTGTGGTCTCCTCGACTCTTTCCCTAGTCCTGCAGCCTGTGCGCTCTCCATCCTTGGGCAATGAGGTGATAAGGGTGGGGGGAGGGGCATGGCTCCTTCTTGCTGGATAGCGTTTTAGAGGAGGGAAGCCACAGCGGGATCTTTTGAAGCCCCCAGCAGGCCCTGGGCCACAGCTCTAATGGGTGCTCAAGATGTGATCATCGAGTTGATCAACAGGAAATTGATGAGACTCATGTCTATAACCCTAGGCTTTGGGAAGCTGGGGCGGGGGGCGGAGGGGAAGGATCCCTCTGTGTCCCTTCCATTCCTTACACTAGAGCTGCTTGTTCTCTGGGGTCTTGTTTTGGCCACAGGATTTTCATTCTTCCCCCACGTCCCTAGCTGATGACATATGATGACATATGACCACCTGTTATCACCCTCCAGTCTGATGGCTGATATGGGGCATGTGTGCCTTTGAGGGGCTACTAAGGGCTGTGGGCAGACCCCATCACACCACCTTTGCAGTTTGGGAGACCGAGTTGCTACATAGAGAGGTCTGGAGCCTGCCTGGCTGGGCCGTCTGAGCTGAAAAGGAAGCCTAGGGGGAGGAGGCCTATGGGTGTAGATGCTGCCTGGAAGGTCATCTCGGCCCCCAGAACCAATGACATGGTCTGGCAAGGATACCACATGTATCTGTGCCAAGCTTGTGAGAGCTGTGGTGATGCAGAAGAGTAGGGGAGAGGGTGTCCGTCCTGCTCCCTTCAAGTCTGGGCCAACTCCCCCCACCCCTGGCCTCCTGCAATGCTTCTTGGGGGACACGAAAGTTTGGGGTAAAACTTTGACTGTACCTTTGCTTGGGAGGCAAGTCCGGGGGAATCTGTTAGGATTTTGTATGTGCCTCATCCTCATCCCTTGAAATGGGCTATTGTAGGAAACCTGAAAACTCAAGGAAAGTGCAGAGAAAACACTAAATCATCTGTAACCCCTCTGTCCTCCTGCCATTTAGAGACAGCCACTGTTAATGTGGAGGTGCATCTCCTGTCATGTGTCTTTCTCTTTTTCTTTCTGGACTGGGAGGAAGTTGACATACCTATGTGTGTATGTATGCTTGGTATTCTGCTTTGTTTTTGTTTTTTTATATTGTGAGCCTTTTCCTGACCCTAAAATGTTGTGAGAGTCTCTTGGAAGGCTGGGTAGAAGGTCTTTAGTCCTGAGTCTTTGTGGGTTCTGAGTCGTGCATCAGAAAGCCTGTCCCTCGGCGTGTGTGGCTAGCTCAGGGTCCTGCAGGCTCCCCTGGGTGGACTCGGCCTGGCCTTTGCTGTCCATATCCTGGGACTGCTTGGCAGAGGAGGTCTGCCACATGCGGAGGTGATGGTCTTCTCCATCCCACGTGTAAGTTCAGATTCTGTGTCTGAGCCAACAAAAAAAGCTCCTCACAAGTCACTTGCAGGTTTTTATTCTTAAAAGAAAGATGTTCTCTCCGCCCAGGAACTAAAGGGTTAGAAATGGAAAAATCACTTTTCTTTCTCTCAGGAGTGGGGTTCTTTGCTTTCCTGCTGATCTCTATTCCTGCCTGTAGAATTTGACATGATTTTATTGACTTTTCCTTGGTCCAGTTGGGTGAACAGGATTTTTGTCTTGCTCAGAACAGCCTTATGCTGTGATGTGACACGTGAGCCAGGCCCGTGTCAGCGGTCATCCTTCCTTGCCCCAGTGGCATGGTGAGGATTTTCAGTGTGAGATGGACTGATAGCACTAGGTCTCGTGTGGCACGTGGTACGTGGCAGTTCCACATGGGCCAAACCATTTCTTCCTCTCTTTTGTTTGTTCGTGACTTTGAGGCACTCTGTGTGTGTGCATGGGCGTGTGCTTATGTGTATACTTGTATGTGCTTGTGTGTTTGGTGACCTGCCAGGCTCCAGGACAGCAGGATCTCAAAGTGACAATGGAAATGGCTCTGAAAGAAAGCACTTGATTCCAGCACACACAGCCCAGTGGAGCCCAGTGGTGTGGCATGGCTCAGAGTCCCTTGTGTCTGCTTGGGTCTGCCCTAGTCAGTTTCTCCTGGGGCTGTGGTGTGGCATGGTTTTCCTCTCTGCTCTGTGGCTTCCCCTCTGTCTTCCTTGTCATTGTAAACCTCCCTGCCGTGTACGTGGGTAGCCCGGAATCTGAGAGGCTTGCACGTAATGTTTACCTGTTCCAAATAAGTCACCCAGAGGTCCAGCAGGGAGAGATATTGGTTTATTAAAACTTACAGGAAGGCCGGGCTTGGTGGCTTCGCCTGTAATCCCAGCACTTTGGGAGGCCGAGGCAAGTGGATTACCTGTGCTGGCAGGTTAGAGACTAGCCTAGGCAACTTGACGAGACCTCGTCTCTACAATAAATCAAAAATTAGCCGGGCGTGGTAGCGTGCATCTGTAGTTCTGGCTACTTGGAAGACTGAAGCAGAAGGTTCGCCAGAGCCCAGCAGGTTGATGCTGGGTTGGCTCCATCCCAGGTGACGGAGTGGGACTCCACCTCAAAAAACAGATAAACAAACAAACAGACAGACAAAAAACATACAGAGGGCACCAATGGCAGCTGGTCGGTGATGAGAAAATCTGCACCTCAGGGTAATACAGCAAGCAGTTTTATAGGCAAGCAAGTTAGTTAGTCAAATTCCTGTTCAGAGCTTACAATTATATTAAGAGTGCATCCTATACTACTTTCAGCTTTTCTTGGCCACTGGCATCCTGTGACTTATTACTGGAAACATGCATACCCTTCAGAGACCAGTGTTGGCGAGAGGCTGCTACCTGAGGGAGAGGGAGACAGTCCATGTCCAGGCAATATCCCACACCCTATATTATTCCATAGGAGCGTGCCCAAATGAGACAAGTCCTAGAGTGACATCTTCCTTGTAATGACCCCAGGACACAAAGTGTGCACTAGTGTTTCCGTGCAGGCCTCATGGGACCCAGAGGAATTATCAGGTTGGGAAGCTGTGATGCTCTGTGCTTCTCCCATTGTTTGGAACTTGTGCAGAGTCTGTGGTTGTGGGTGGGCTATGGGAAGGCTGGTCAGGCCCCTCTGTGTTGATGGGGGAACAGTCAGTGGTAAAAGCACAATATGTGGGTGGACAGATGTTTCTAAGGGCAGAAAACCTGCAGCAGCAATGGTAGGAATCTCACACTGTGGTCTTGGGAGCTTAAGGCAGCCCTGCAGCAGGATGAGAAAGGAGACCCAGCCACAAGGACAGCATGTCTTCAGGTTCAGGGCTCTGTCCTGCGGATGCTGCCAGGCCTTCCATCACCCAGGATACTGCTGGGGCGTCATTGTGTTGGTGATGGAGCTCACCTGGTACAACAGGCCCATAGAGGGAGGGGCTGGAGTGTCCACCACTTCTCTGGATGGCATGAAGGGTCACTGGTGGGGTCTTCGTCCACTTCCCTTGGGGAACGTATTGTGATATCACCAAGGGCTTTCATCTGGCAGCACAGAGCAGACCCCGTGGGGGAGGAAAGAGGAAAGCAAGATTCCCTGTGCTGTTTGTTGTAAGTTAGCTGGTGGCTTTCTCTTTCAACACTTTTTTTTTTGAGTCAGGATCTCGCTCTGTCCCCAGGCTGGAGTGCAGTGATGCAATCACAGCTCATTGCAACCTCGACCTTCTGAGCTCAGATGATCCTCCTGCCTCAGCCTCTTGAGTAGCTAGAACTATAGGTGTGCACCGCCTATAAATTTTTATTTCTTGTAGAGATGAAGTCTTGCTGTGTTGCCCAGGCTTGTCTCAAATTCCTGACCTCAAGGAATCCTTCTGCCTAGGCCTCCCAAAGTGCTGGGATTACAGGTGTGAGCCACTATGCCTGGCCTCCGTCAACATTCTTGACCCTAGACTCTTGAGCAAAAGCTGGAGGTTATGTCCAAAAGATGATTTCCTAAGGGCTCCTGTGAGAGAGAGAGAGAGAGAGAGAGAGAGAGACAGTGTGTGTGTGTGTGTGTGTGTGTGTGTGTGTGTGTGAGTGTGTATCCTTTGTCTATTAGATGGATACTCATCTTGGCTTGTGGTCAGCTTGGGTTAATCAGCTCTCTTTTTTGGGGACTGTCCAGTGTCCACCTCCTCAGACACTCCACTATGCTCTAGGCAAGGTACAGCTAGCTTTATTTCAGCCATGCTGTGACTTACTGAGGCATTTTGTCCAGCAGCCTGGCACCTGAAAACCTGCTCTGGTATAGTCTTATGGAAAATCCATCTCTGGATCCGCAGCTGATCTTTGCAGTTTCCTCCTAGACCTCCTGCCCGCCTTTGGCATCTGTTCTCATAACTGCTCCTTCCAGGCCTCCCCTGTCTGCAATTACAAAATGGTGCCACATTTCCATTTACGACAACTCCCAAACCCTCACCTGCTCCAATAGTAACCTCCCTTGTCCCTACTTTGGTAGCCTTCACTACTTCCATAAACTAGTCAGAATCTTCCCTTGGCCCAAAGGATGCTTTTTGTTGGCTAGTCCCATCATGAGAGCACCCAGGCCTGTGCCCATCATGAGAGCACCCAGGCCTGTCATGAGAGCACCCAGGCCCATCATGAGAGCACCAAGGCCCGGGCCTGTCATGAAAGCACCTGGGTTTGGGCCAGTAGAACTGTCTCCAACTGCAAAGCTGTCAATTCAGTGCTGGGCCAGGGCTGCTCTCTGCAGAGGTGTGGAAAAAGCCCTGCTCAATTTCAGTGTCTCTGTCACTGCCTGAAATAACTCTGGTGTTCCTGGAATCTCTGGAAGAGATTCCCAACTCTCTTGAACACCCCTGTGGACTTCTGCACTTCCCCCTTTGCCCAGCACCTCACCAAGTCTTCTGTGAAAACAGTTCTGTTTTGGGGCTTTGTCCTTTTAACTAGTGGGGCAGTCACTGACTGGCATCTGGATGGACTGGGGCTACTTCCCACATCCCCCTACTCCTGACCAAACTTCTCCTTCATCCCCCTAAGATCACGGTACCATGGGTGCAAAATGCTTCCGGTGAGGGTGAGCGATAGATGGGGGAGGGCCAGGGGGTGTAGGAGCATGAGAACCAGCACTGGGTAGTGGGCCATGACATGTTGGATATTTCTGTTATTAGCCATGTTTGTAGACTCCTTGGAGCGTATCACTGGGCAGAGCTTGTGAGGTGTCCAGGCAGCCATGCATGGAGCCCTAGTATGAGCTGAGTAAATTGCTCCCATCAGGTGAAGAGATGGTGCTGACTTGACACTCCCTTTCCATCAGATGCATGTCCCTAGGGTGAAGGGTGTGGCACCCAGTACCCAACAGGCAGTAAGAAATGCCTTCCCTGTCTCTCTCCCTTTGCATCCCACAGGTCCCGAGTTCCCACCTGTGCCTGCACAGTTTCCCAGATGCCCTGAGCATGAGGCCCGTTGTGCCTCCTGGGTGACACCACCAACTTCATCTTTATTTTTTTCTCCATGCTAGTGGGCTGGGAGGATTGGAAAGTCTGGGTCCTGGGTCCCAGCGAGCTCTCTGTTTATTTGATTTGGAGGGAGAGGAATCTTTATTGATGTTGGTGGTAGAGTTTGAGGGATGGGGTGGGTTGGCATGTGACTTTGTCCAGCCCTCCCTTCCTGAGTTCTCTTGGCTGGGACTTAGTGACTAGGGGTGGGAATGCAAGCAGGAAACAAAAATAAATGCTTTCCTCAGAGTCAAAGGCTTGGTACCCTGTCGGTAACCAGGAGGGCTGACCCCAAAGAGCATTGAGGCTGCAGGACTCTGATCATTCGAGGAAATATCACCTCTCTTGTCCTCTCTTCTCCGCCTTCCTGGCCTGGCTGCATGTCTGTGGTATCCCCCAGCCCTTCCTAGCCTCGGGGGCATCCTGTCGGACAGGGGTGTAGCCCCGCTCCATACACACAGCTGCCATATCTGGTCCTTGGAGCTCCTATTTCATCAGTGGCCTCAGATCCCAGTGGGTGGGTCTGCTCTTCTGCCTGGGATGACCCACCTCTCAGGAGAAGGCTGCGTGCACACTGATGCCCTTGCTGGGCTCAGAAACCTGCTGAGGGGCTTGCGTTTGCTAAGTTCGCTGTCTACACTGTGGCCATGCTGATTACTAGGCCACGCTGCCACTTCCTTGATCTATATGGGCCCCTTCTTTTCCATACCCTGCTGCCTTGTTCAGGGGCATTCACCTCCTGGTTGCCCTCTCTGTTGTCTTCGTGCTCCTGCCAGAGGCTTCCAAAGTGCAGGCCCAAGCTTGTCTTTTATTTTCTCCACTGGCTCCCAATTCTTTAATACCAAAAAAAAAAAAAGGCATTGAGAGTTTTCAAGGCTGTCATTGGTCTCCCCCCAACCTGGCTGCAAAGCCCCATTTCTCCCATGAATGGTCATTCTGACCTGTACTTTGAAATGAGTTTACTTGTCTGTTACATACACCTGTTGTTTCAGCTGCCTTTAGGTAGGCTCCCTGCTCACGGAAGTCTTTTATCATCCAGTCTACAGCCCCTCCCCTGAGACATCCCCCTGCATCCTCCCAGGCTGAATCAGCCTTTTACTCTGACCCCACAGAGCACAGCGTCAGCTGCTCTGTCCCCAGCATAATAGTGCTTATTTACTTATCTATCTATTTATCTATCTTTTTATTTTAGAGGCAGGGTCTTGCTCTGTTGCCCAGTACAGTGGTGTGATCACAGCTCACTGTAGCCTCAAACTCCTAGACTGAAATATCCTCCCGCCTCAGCTTCCTGGTGTTACAGGCATGTGCCACCACACCTGGCTAGTATGTTAAAATTTTTGTAGAGATGGCGTCACTAAGTTGCCCAGGCTATTCGCTAACTCCTGGGCTCAAGTAATCCTCCTGCCTTGACTGGAAGTGCTGGAATTACAGACAGGAGCCACCAAACCCACCCTCAGTGACTCTGCTAAATGGATGCCTTTTTTTCCCTTCCTTTCTCCCCTCCGCCTCTTCCTTTTCTTAAGAGTTATCTGTGGCTGTCTCATATCTTATACTTTCTCACATCCTGTTTTCAAATTTTCTATCCTTTTGTCTGGCGTAGGCTTTGCGTGCTGGCTGCCAGGTTCAGAAGTGCAGTTCTGTGGGTTAACTGTCCACATGTCGATCTTTGCAGCTGGATCAGCTTTGGGCCTTGTGGTCTTGTTTGTTTTGTAACTGTCCCCTGTCCTCATGCACCTAGCACCATGCCTTGTAATTGCAGGGGGTGGGCAGAGTAGTCTCTGGAAACCTCTCTGAGTGCTGATGAGGGGGTCTGATGTGCTCTTCAAAAACAAACAATCTCTGGAATTATTAATTTTTTTGTCTTAGTTTTGTATTTCTGTTTTTCTATTGTTTATTTATTGAGTTATGCTTCATTTGCATGGAGTATAATTTACCATTTTTAAGTGTATACTTTTAACAAAGTTATATGGTTGTGTGGCCACTACCATAATCAAATACAGATGATTTCCATCACCCCAAACACTCTCTTATGTTCCCCTTGTACCTTCAGTGCCTGGCCATCACCAATCTGATTTCTGTCCATTTAGTTTGGCCTTTTCCAGAATGTTGTATGCACGGAATTATAGTCTGTGGCTTTTTGATTCTGGCTTCTTTCCCTCAGAGTAATGGTTCATTTCTTTGGAAATTTGATGCCCTGGGCCCTCACTCACTTTTCAGATGCATCCGCCTTTCTAAAAGACTGGTGAGGCACAGACAGGGTCTGTGTGAGTTGGGAGCATCAGAGTAAACTCTACCCCTCTGCCTCCTTGCTGGGTCTCTTTAGGCCCAGGGCCTCAGCTGCTTTGTTGAACCCAGCAACACCCCCTCCCCCGCTGTCCCTGCAGTGACTCTCAGTATGACAGCCTTCTCCCCTGGGTCTTGGCTGGCCGTCCCTGTGGCTGTGGGGCCACTGTGGAGGAGGTAAGCTGGGTCGGTGGAGTGACGTGACTGCTGAATTCCTCCCCCAGAGAGGGGCTGGCCATGGGGTGGCAAAGGTCAGGCCTCGCTAGGCTGAAACAATACAAGCGGTCCCAGCTGCCGACTGCTGGAGCAATCTGCCTTCCCCCACTCTGTGGAAAGCCCTCTGATCAGGCGTGCTGCTGTCAGGCCTCCGAAAAGGCCTAGGGGGAGGATGGCTGGCCTTTCCTTCCCTTTGACCTCCCTTATCTTCCCTGCTCTGTCTTAGCCAACTGACTCCGAAGCTTGGGTTCGAGACCCCTTTCACACCTGTGTAGATGCTGCAGTCACAGGGTCAGCAAGGGGTGAGTGCCGCTGGCAGATACAGGAATGTGCTTTTTTCATGTGGTGATGGATTTGTTGGTGCTGGTAAATAATGTTTTGATGTGATACCACCCACCCCGTTTCCAGAGATGCAGACCCCAGAGAAGAAGGCCTGGGTCCAGATGGGACAGAAAGTGGTGGGAGGCTGCTTGAGTGGTCCTTGGCTGGAGAGCAAGAGGATGGGTGCAACTTGACTCTTTGTGTTCCAGGCCTGGACTCCAGGAGCGGCTCTTCCCCCTGTCAGCAGGGATGCACCTCCCAGAAATGCTTTTTGTACTTGAGTTCTGAAAACCTGAGCTAAACTGAGCATGGTGGCTCACACCTGTAATCCCAGCACTTTGGGAGGCCAAGGCGAGTGAATCACTGAGCTCAGGGGTTTACGACCAGCCCAGGCAACATAGTGAGACCTCGTCTCTACAAAAAATAAAAAATAAAAAAATTAGCCAGGCATAATAGCCCAGGCCTATAATCCCAGCTACTTGGGAAGCTGAAGCAGGACGATCACCTGAGCCCAGGAGGTTGTGGCTGCGGTGAGCCATGATCATGCCACCGCACTCCAGTATGGGCAACAGAGTGAGACTCTGACTCAAAAATGTATAAATAACTAGAAATTTAAAAACCGGAGTTTGACTTTGATTTGTAAACAAGATGGACACATGTTCCTTTTCTTAGGAAGGCTCTCTTTACTTCCAGAGCCCTTTTCCTCTCCCATTTCCTGTAGGTGGGGACACTGCTAGAGAATCCTGTCAGTGGGGCCAGTGCTGACAGTAGAGCCCCCTCCGCCCTCGCCAGCATGTGGGGTGTAGCACCTGGCGTCTCTGCACTACAGGAGGCAGTGAGTGTGGGAAGAAGAATCGGGCTGTGCAAGCTAGGCTTAAAGGCGGGCTCTACATGTTCTGCTAGGTCTGGCTGTGCCTCGGTTTCCTCCGCAATCATTCAAGCCATGAATCCTTACTGAGTAGTTTCTCTGGGCACTGGGGTCCAGCAGTGTGGCCCCAGGTCTTGGTTCCTGCCCACAGGAGTTTACTGTCCAATCGGGAGGTTGGGCAGGAAGTATGTGACTGTTGAACATAGACGGTGGGGCTGTTCTGGGATGGCAGGGGTCCCCATCAGCTGAGGATGGCAGATGCCCCAGGAGGCAGCATTTTCCCTGAGACTAGAGTTTGTGAGGTGGAGGCCCACGCCAGGCAGAGGGGCTGGTACGTGCATTGTCCCCAGAGAGGAGGGAGTGGCGGGGCGGGCGGTGCCTGTGACCCACCCAGCACAGTAGGACTTCTCCCCCTTCCTTTCCTTCCACATGAGTGTTGGCAGACTGGGCATATGCAGGTAGAGAAAACTTTGTACCATTGCTTACAGTATTGAATCTGCAGGAAAATGAATTCCAGGTCTCAAAACACTGACTTATGCATGAATCCATTTTATCACCCAGTCGCTATTCTCATTCAAGTGCCTGCGGGAGCCACTGGAAGACCGAAGTGCTGACCATGTTGGCTGTTAAGTTGTCAGGTTTCTACCTTGACATACAACCATCTCAGGGGCTTAGATGACTGCCCAAGTTGTGTGAGGTGACTGATCTTCCAGTGGTGGAAGGGCTTCTTGGAGGCTCCTGCCAGGCTCACCAGGATGAATTCCATGATAACTTAGTGGTATCTGTCTTGGGGTGGCAGTGTGACCCCATCCCAGATACTGTGTTTAATATGTGGTTTTCATTATCTAACAGATGTTCTTTAAGGAAAAAGAGGCAAACAGCTTTCATGACTCTATATATTTGAGAGCTTTATGCTTTTGGTGATGGCTGGATAAAAAATATATCTTTTCACAGGAAAGGATATAAAAAGGAGCTATTTATCCATGTATTTTAGGTAAGGTCTGAAATTCATTCATTCATTCTTCAGACATGTACTGAACAGCTGCTCTGGGTCTGGCACTGTGTTAAAGTCCTATGTATTTAAAGAAGAATTAGACATTGTCTTTATAGACATGTCCATATGGACGTGAGAATGCAGGATATTTAGGACTTTAGTAGAAGCATGAGTGCAGTGCACCAGGAGCTCCAAGGAAGCTAGTGGTGGTGTTCAAAACACAAAAGTATTTGCTTTTCAGATCAATAACCTCAGTGGCAGTGTGGAATTTGAACTTGAATTGAGGGGGGTGGAGGTTGGTGGCAAAGAGTCAAACCCCCAGGTGAGAGGTGAAGGACTAGATGAAGCCATCATGGTTAAGAGAGGGATGCCTACTAGAGACAGGCTCAGCCAAGCTCCCAACTGAATGCTGTCAAAGGTGTCATTTCAGCTGACACCACGTGGGGCAGAAGAACCTCCCAGCTGAGCCCAGCTAGCCCACGACATTATGAGAAATGATCAGTTGATGTTTGAAGCTACTAAGCTTAAGGCTGGTTTGTTTTGCAGCAGTTGGTATAGTTGAAGCAAGAATGTTGAAAGTGAGTCCTTGAAACTGTGTTACATAGGACTTTATTAAAGAAAATCTTGTAAGTCTTGGAGTTCGGCCTATGATTTGAGGTACTTGGTGAAGTCGGCATGATACTGGCAGGTGGATGTTCTTGCCCTGGATGGAACCTTGGACTGTCTGTGTGGTTCCCTGCATGGTCATGGAGACTTGGCAGTCAGTCAGACCGACCACAGCTTGTGATGCTGGGGATGGTCTCCCTGAGCAAAAGCTGCAGTGTGGTTTGCATTCCACCCCGCTGGAGACAGAGGGGTAAGGATCCACTTGTGTGTATTTCAGGGAGACAGGATGGTTGGTCTACAGGTGTTTTATCTGCCCTTATCTTCTATGCCAAAGGCCACCCCCAGGCAGTGGCTTCCTTTTCCAGTAGGAAAAATGGCTTGTTTCTGTGTGCATCAAATGCCTGTCCTACTTTACAAATGTGAGCAAAACCCAAAATGCTTGGCGTCATCCCCTCCCCAGAAAGAGACGGTGGGAGAGACAACTTAGAGACACACTCCTCCCAACCCTTTGGTGGGGCTTCCATGTTACTCACTTGTAGTCAGTGTGGTCATTTGGTTTCTATTGTCTTTTGGTTAGGAAGAGGGAAGGGAATCTACGTGAGGGTTTGTTTGAAAATGCTATTTCTCCCGCAAAGGGAAGTGGCTCAGTGTGTGACTTGGGGAGATGGCTCGGCCCTGCCCAACACCAGAAATTCCCACTAGCCACAATTGCTTTGAGCCCAAGACAGACTGCTGGGATCCAGGGGTTTGCATCCCAGCAGGGTGACTCAGACTCTCTGAGTTTTACCTATTTGCTGAGAGCACTGACTGAGGCCCCAGGCTGGGCCAGGGACCGCTAGCCAGTACCTCCTGTCTCCTGCAGGAAGACAGGAAGATGCCATCTTCATGACAGACTCCTGGGGTATTCTAGCTGCTGACCCATATGTGAAAAACTGACTTACTGGCTGGCTGGTGGGATCAACATCTCATCTCCCTCAGTCCTGTGGGTCTTGGCCTGTTTCCACTGGGGAAGACTCTGCTGAGGCCACCCCTCCCCACCCCTGCCTCCCCCTCCTACTTGCTCTCTCTTCTCTCC